ACACACACTCACACACACGACTAACGCTGATTGCGAATAATGCAGTAAAACGGCACGTGCTTATTTCGCCAGCTTCGCGAGAATGTGAAGTTCCTATAGTTTGCAATTGTTTTCCATTTATTTGCTCAATTTCTACATATTAAATTTCATTTTATTACGTGCTCTCTCCTTTTCACCAATTCCTTTTTTTTTTTAATTAAACCTCGTTAGTAACGTCCATATAGTAATGTCTACTTAATGTAGCCATCTTGTAACCATGTTGATTTAATCTTCTTTAGAAATGTTTCATCGTATGATACAAATGATCCTGCTTTATTCTTTTTCTTTCATTATCAGATATAAATCGTTCAGTATTTGTTCATTCATTTCTTCACTCATTTACTTTCTCTGTCTTTTCGTCTCTATTTCCCTCATAACTTTTTCTCTCTCTTTCTTTACATTCTCTTTCTTTACATCTTTTTCGCCCCGCCATTTTCTCTACCCTTTTCTCGCTTTTACATTCCTTCTGCCTGCATTTTTATGCTTCTACTTCTTTCTTCTTTCCCTCTTCATTTAAACCTGCTCGTCGTAAATCTGTTGCCACCTACTTTCTTCTCTTTTCTCGTGTTTTACTCTCGGTTACAACAACCAGATATTTATTATTCGCGCATATCATTGCATTTTTTAAATATTGTTCTTCCATTCTTAATCGCGTAGCCGTTTGTGCTTCAGCTTGCACAAGTCGGCAAGTTCATCAGCAAGGAGACTTTCGCGCGAGTAGTTGGCCCGATAATTTATGTTAACCGCGTTTGTGAAGAGGAAACGGTCGAGCGAATCGAAGTGAGATACGTCGTTCTCCGTAAGAATTATATTCCCAGCAACATGTATACGGAATCTTGTAGTGTGCAGTAACACTTTTCTTCGTGTTCAAACTCTTTCTTTTGCACTAAAATATTTAATCGATAATGCGTTGTTCGCTATTTTAATTTTAAAATTTTCAAGCGTGTTGATTAATTCAAAAAATCCCGAGAGAACTATGTCATAAATACCGCCAGCATTATCGGAAAACAATAATAATATTCTAATTATTTTCAAAACAGTGTAGACGTCTCTCCTGTTTACTAAAAATATTCGGACGATTTATTAAAATAATTCAATCGAAATAATTTAAAATTTAATCAAAAATATAAACAGTAATAGATTTGTATTACTTTTGTATTATTTATATATTTGAAATGTAATTTATATTTTATTTTTTATTATACCTATATAATTAGCATTTTATTTTTTAAACAAAAAAATTATTTTAAAATTGAATAAAATTTGCCATTTTTGAGAATTTTCTACATGATACTGTATATTTTTTAAAGATATTAATATCATAAAATTAAAAAAAATTTCTTTACAGATCGTATTTTTCTGTTTGAATATATTGATAGAATTTTTTATTTATTATTAAAAATTATAGCGCTATTTTTCATTGGTTTTGATAGATATCGGAAAATTTATTATCCTTTCTCTCTCTCTCCCCCCCCCTCTCTCTCTCTCTCTCTCGAGAAGATAAAGCTCTTCAGAACTCGGCTGGAAATTCCCTCGCATGACCCTCTTCTCAGGGTGTTCCGCAGTTTCCGCATCGCCGCTCAAGAAGATCATTGACTGCTGGGGAGAGTCGCGCGAGCAGTAGGGTACTTCGGAATTCGACCGGTCGGTCGGTCGGTCGGTCGGTCCTGTCGAAGGTTGCACGATTGATCACTCGGCGGGTAACGTTTGAGCAGTTACAAATACACGTGATCAATCGTGTCCTAATGGCGCACCCGAGTGCATCGCGTGCAACGGCAACGGCTGCAGCGGCAGACAGCGCGGCGGTGGCGTAACTGCTGCACGGCAAACCTCACGCGCTGAAAGTATTTGCCCGAGTGCATTAATCATTCAGCGTGTCTATTCGATGCACTCCACGGACGAGACTACTCGGCGCATTCGATCGAGTTCGATCATTTTCGGACGTGTTATCTTTTTTTTTTTTCCGATTCGATCCCTGCTCGACATTGATTCCGCGAGCTGTCGTTGCCGAACGATCCGATCGATACATGATAAATGGGAATTAATTCTATGTGACTCCATTTTTCCGATTCATCAAGAAAAAAAAGGTTAATGCAGCAATATATTGTTAACAATGGGTATAGGATTTACGTGTGATCTATTTTAAGCCGGTTATGGAATTTACACTGCAATAGAATTTCAGAGAGAGAAAGAGAGAGAGAGAGAGAGAGCACAATTTGAGATTAACTGCATATAGATTTAAAGGGATGAGCGAGAAGTGACAATGCGTGACATCATTCTATTGTCTTGGTTTGTGGTTACAAAATCGAACAAATCCGAGGGCAAAGCTGAAAGGACCTAGATGGATCAAAGGCACATTGAAAATGTGCATTGAAAAAGCACGTCAGCAATTCCGTCATTCGTTATTGAGAGGGTTGGTTCGTCGTCGACGACGACGACAAGTGCATTCAACCAACCGCGCCTTGTGCATTCAAACATGACAACACGCTCGCTAGTTACGTGGCTTTACTCGTTAGTGCGTTTTCATCGAAGAAACCCTTTCTCATCCCCTCTAGGCCATCACTCGTCGCCGTTGTCCCGCCATCTCCCAATGCGTCGCGACTCGTTCGCGGTCCAACCGTTAAATACGGCTCCGACGAGGCAGAGCAACGAGTTTCCGATAACGTCGGATGCGACGGAGCGTATTACCGGATAGAGTGCGTCCCGCGTTCAATAATACACGGCATTCGCCTTCACTCGATCGCACGCTTGATTCTCTACTTCAATCGTGCCTCGTTCGTTCTCACTTTTCTCTCCGGCGCTTTACTTATATTCGTTTTCCGATTTTGTCTCCTCGCTTGTGTAATTTATTAGGATAATTTTTTTACAATTACGATTTTACAATTGTATACTGCAATTTATGGCGATATTGGATTTCATCAAATATTTCTTACAGTACAACATGGCAAGACTAAGATTATATTTGCTTGTAAGCAAAATTATTATCTACATTGAAAAAAAATCTAGTCAATTTTAATAAATATTTAGTTGGATACTGCCAACTAAATATTTATTAAATATAAAGATATATTTGATACAAGAAGTGTTAATTTGATTTAACAATTTTTTTTTTATTTAACAAGTATTTATTTACTGTAAGTAAATGTTTAGTTGGCAGTATTGAACTAAATATTTATTAAAAAATTAACTATATTTTTTTCTCAGTGTAAAATTATAAAATGTTTTACGAATATATTTATATGTTTATAATATACTACATGATGAGATGTGTAATACTTATGTAAATATTTCTTGTGGAACAATTCATAGTAAAACTATATAAGAGAATTCGTTTGTAGGAAAAATTATTATTTAAAATTCTAAACTTTATATTTATGAAACTTACGCGAAAGAGAATATCATTACATATTTAAAAAA